TATTGAATGTTTTGTTGCTTGGCTCTGAAATTTCAGCATGTTTGTTTGAAAAAAATCTCAATTTGCTTTTTTCCTCAACATCTATTTCTGTGAAAAACATTTTTTCTTTATAAACAGAAGTAGAGAATTAATATTTTCACAGAAAATGCAACACAAAGGCTTATTATAAAAAATGTAAGCTACAAACATTTTGTAATTTGATGTAATTATCATAAAAGTAGCTAAAAAGTAACTGGAAAAAAAACAGAATCTAGCACAAAGAAGCAGAAAGAACGTTTGCTGAAATAAGCTGAAATTATCACCAAAAATTTATTTTAGCTGAAAAATGCAAAAATTAGCTGAAAAGGCTAAAAGAAGCTTAAATTGCAGAAAACAGCAGAAAGAAGCACAAACGCTTAAGTTTGCTGATAAAAGAAGCTGATAGAAGTACCATTTTTTCAAATCAACAGAATAGCTGAAAGAGCAGAAAGATCAGATAAAAATCAGCTGAAAATCAGATAAAAGCAAAAATTTGCAAAAATAGAAGCGGAAATTAGTGGAAAAAAAAAACAGAACTTGGATAAAAGGTGAAAAATGCAAGTTTTATGGATGTTGAATGAAGCTTCACTCACTTGCAGTGATAAAATAAAAGTCTACCAAAACAGAACTTGACGTGAACCATCGCTGAGCTGATGTCCCCCGTCGCATGTGCAGAGAAAAAAATGGAAAAAAGAAAAAAATCATGATCTCATCGCGACATCGCTCTCAATCTGCAAACACCCAGAGTATGTGTTGGCACGTACTTAGATCTACTTTAAAAAAATATTAATTTCAGTAGCTGCTTTCGAACTGAACTACTGCCATTTTTATGGGATGTAAGATTCGGCTACGGTGGCGGCCATCTTGMATGACATGATTTTGCAAATGTCACTAGTGTAAGGTTTGGACATTCAGTAGTGACCAAATGGACAGGTCTCCATTATTTAAATTKTTTCATTAGGTGAACAGACGGACCAACGGTCGGACGGAGACCATTTCTATGTCCCCCGCCTCGGCAARGGGTGACAAAAAAGGCTAAATACTGTTTGTTAAAATGTATAAATTGCTAAAATACTAAAAGTCATAGCAGAAATGTGCTGAAGAGTTGAATGTTTTGATGTACAAACTGTTGAAATGGCGCAAAAAACTGCGGAACGAAAAACGTGCCGAAAAACAACTCATCTAAATAGTTTGAATAAACACATTCACATGATGCGAACATAGCTGTCGTGTTAAAATGTTAAGAATGGATTTATTCCAGACCAAATCTTTTGACACATCATGAAATAAAAAAAATCCTGCAAAGACGGACATGTTTTGTGTTCCACTGTAAAAACAATWGRGGTTTATGAGATTTGCAAATCATTGTGTTCTTGTTTTTATTTAGATTGTACACAATGTACTTGTTTTTACAGAATCTGGTTGTAACTTAAGAGTAAATAAGTCCTTATTCCTGGACAACACGTGCAGGAGATGCTAAGAACATATTTGTCACAGCAAATAGGTGAAACAAACATCATTATTCTGAAATCTATTCAGCCCTTCATTCCTAATTCCTGTCACTGTGTGTTTTCCAAAAATGTGACGACAAATAAGTTTGTTTTCATTACTGAAAGCCTGTTTAATCCGTTCCTGCGTAGATGTCTTTCCTCAGCAGAAAAGTGAAGAGATGTGAAAGTTTCWGAGTTTGAGGATGAGAAACTGCTTCCACCTCTGTGTCTGTGGGGCATGGAAATTTGTTTCAGGTGGAAAGTGTGTCTAATACTCCAAGTGTATCTAATAATTTGAGTTCCTGATAGCCATATGGGCTCATGTAATCACTGTCGGTTGAATTCATMTCAAGTAAATATGTAATTCAAAGTGGCGTGGGGCAATTTTGGTTTTAATTAAAAAAGACCCAACCTTTTTTAAAAGCGTTCGTTTGCTTCACACCCTCTTGATGAATTTGAAATGAGTGGGCCTCCGATTACCACCTTTTTTTTTTTTTACTTTTAATTAGGTTATGTTATTTGGAGGAAAAGCAAAGTTGTGCGGAACAGAATTCGTTAGGGCCAGATGTGACCGCTTCCTGGTTATCAGGCGTCTTCTTTTTTCTGGTTGTCTCCCTCCTTCCCGGCGCCCTGCGGCACGCTGTACAGGAAGCGTGGAGGAGGGCAGATCGGGGCGGGGTGGGACGTGGGGGGAGTCGGAAGTGTCTCGAATCAGAGGCGTACGCGGCGAAGCTGTGTACAGCCCCCTGCGGTGCAGGTTGTGTTAAAAGGGAAATCATTTCTTCCTGCTGGGAAACATTTCCCTTATGTGAACCTCCAGTCCCTCGTTTGCTCATTTAGACCCYTGCCTTCCACTTTTCATGCTCATAAATTAATTTTCTTTCATTTATGTCCTCCCTTAATTCTGCTTTTGCCGTGCAAAGTTTGAATGCCACCTTTTAATTATCGGAGACTTTGTGTTTTAATAAAAATACTGAATTCTTGATCGTTTTTTAGCGGAGTGAAGGGCTTTTCTTGTAGAATGGGTAATGAGCAAACCTTTGAGGTGTTTGACTTTTGAAAGTCTTGCTCCCTTTAAATGACCTGAGAAAAGTTTGACTATGAGAAACACTGAGCAAAAGGGAAAAGAATCTCATTTTCCATTCCTTATCTGTTTTTCTTTTTATCCCAAGGGGCTTTTGGCTGTAAATGGTGTACTCTGTGGTGCGCACCCGGTCCCATTCTTGCCATATCCCCTCCTCCAATCTTCTAAGAATCCCCCTGGGGAGACCTGGGCTCTCCACTTCACTTGTTTTGTCACTGGAGAAAATTACCCAACTGCCAGCATATTTGTGACAGCTTAGTGAGCACTCCATCTACAAATAAGCCTGTAAAGATTACTTTGTCGGTTCTGGATCATTTAGAATCCAATTTAATTCAGGCCTCTAGGAAAAAAAGGCCAAATAAAAACAAAGCAGCTTAATTAAGAAAGCTGAGTGGCTGCAGACTGCTTATATGTTAGAATACCACTTCGACCTGCTTATATACTCGACGCCTGGAGATACAAATTTGAATACAATACATATGAAGGTCTTCAAACCAGAGTGATCATCAAGGAAAAGTGAGTTCCATGCTAACAAACCTACCAGAAACAAATGTTAGAATTTAGCTTCTGGAGATCCGTTTTGCTCAAATTCACAGCTGAGGCACTGAAATTTGTTTGRGCTATGCTATAAGCCAAAAAGAATTGTTTAAAATGTAAACAAAAATGAAGCAAATCTCACAAACTTCATATTTAAATCACTGCAAAATAAATGTATAAAATGTTTAAACCATAAACACACTGAAAAATATAAATAATGCTTAGTTTGACGGCAGCAACATGTCTCAAAGGCAGTAATGCATCCCTATACCATCAGAGAGGCAGGCTTTTGAACATACATATATTTTCCTAATGCAAAAAAATCAAACAGAACATGTTTATGGTTAGAAAACATGGCATAATACACAAGTAACATAACAGGTATTATTTCTCTTGAACTTGGCTCAGCCAAAGTGAAACAGGAAGTGACATCAAAAGGGAACTCTTTAAGAAAATAAACTCTCTTGAAACTATTTTATTTTAACTGACTCTTCTTCATCTCTCTGATAAAGACTCAAAATCATCATCATCATCTACAGAAACATCAAGTCTTCTCTACAGTCTCTGTCGTTAGTMATTGTAGCAWAGCTCTATTTACATGTGGACATTCCCCTTTGACATCACTTCCTGTGTCTTCACATGCGAATATCTCAACAACTGTTCATCTCAGCMGTGTGAAATAAYTTATCAATGTTATCTTTCTAGAAAATGTGTTCATATTTAGAATAAAAAATGGATGTCACAGARACTTTAAATTCTAATCTGTTTGAACTGAAAACGGTTTTCACTTCACCTCAGTTGATTTAAATGAGCTTTGGTTCAGAGAAGACTTGATGTTTCTGGGTAGTGTTCACATATGGCTTCTATCTTCTTTGCATGATAGAGCTTTATTTATTAATCGCACTGTGAGCTGGGTAAACAGTGCAAACTCTTGTTTTCATTCGTATTTTACACATGGACCCGACTTTTTTCAGAACCAGTGTATTTTCTTGGTGTTTTTGCTCTG